AATGAAGCAATTTAAATAATTCATTTCAGCTGGTGAAAATTTGTCTCAAGTGTTACTGGGAGGAAATTCAACTATTTAATGAGATAATTTCCACTGCCATTGTCTATCAGACATTTCAGAAAAAAAAATAGCAGACTGCATTGCTACTTTTGTTGACACATGCTCATACACTGGTATGGGCTTCATGCCATATATACAGTACTGTACCAATGCTCCCCAACCCCTTTTTTTTTTAGCCTGCAGACCAGCAAACTTCCAGAGAATTTTCTGCAGACTGGCAAAGTTTCATAAAATGTTTGAAAGACAACAGTTTTGCTTGAAACTTGGAAGACTTGGGAGGCAGGCATTAAAAAAGGTTTATGCTTTTTTGATAAAAAAAATTATGAACCAATGAAAAACAGTAATGTGGCATGGAATGTCTCCAAAAATTAGAAAGGTGGGCTGGAAAAAAGGTTTCTCAGAATGAAGCAATTTAAATAATTCATTTCAGCTGGTGAAAATTTGTCTCAAGTGTTACTGGGAGGAAATTCAACTATTTAATGAGATAATTTCCACTGCCATTGTCTATCAGACATTTCAGAAAAAAAANTCTGTCTGTTCTATGCCCGCGCTATAGAGAGAGTCGGGAGCCCTGAAATAGTGGTGTCCCTGTTCATGATGCGAGCAGCCTGATTGGCGTCGCGTTTCACCTTTCATCATCCAAACGCCGACAGGAAAATAATAAAAGAGAAAAAAAAAGAATGAGGAGAGAATGATTGGCTCTTTTGTCACAAACCCAACCTTTTTTCATTTATATTTTTTGAAGCATTGATGTACAGTTGAACCAATCTGTAAGTAGAATTTCTATAGGGACCAGGAAAACATTAGACTTGGGGAGGTTTTGATTTTTGGAGGTTTCCATGCAGTTAAAGAGAATTGTGAGGAGAAGTGAAAAAAGTTTAGGATAATGTATAAATAGAGGATATTCTGGGCCTAAACTTGATGTTTAATGAGTTTACACCTTGCAGCTTAACTTGGAGGCTTGGGTTCATTTAATATATTAGTCTTTCACTTCCTTTCAAGATACTGTACGTCAAATTAATTTTTTATGATTTTCTCTTCCATGTTTCAAGGAAAATAATAACCAGAAGGCCCCAGAAATTTTGACTTACAGAGGTTTTAGAGAAAAAGACGTCAAGTTAGAGAGGATTTTAATGCATTGATTCTAAGGGAATTCAGACAGGAACTTTGAAAACATTTGAATTAGTGAGGAATTCAACTTATGGAGGTTTGACTTATCAAGATTCATGTGTATATGAAACTTTAATGCATACAGGTGGACTCTCTCTACAACAATCTTGTCTGCATCAATTTCTCTGTTCATATAAAGAAGTTTTTGTGGGGTCTCTTCCTGGCTCTCTGCAAAGAATTTTTTCTGGTCCCTTGGATTTCGTTGTAAGAGTTTACCTATATATTCTGAAAAAATCAGAAATCCTGAAATTTTGTAAAATAGTGATCAGCATTGCAATTATCAGGAATTTCAGAAAAATCTACAGCTGACATTGAGCAACAAACCCAATCTATTATTCCAGCTTCCATCTATAGGTGTATATACTTGGTTCAAGAAATTCATAGTAGCAGATAAGGGAAATCATTCAATTGGTTACAGAAGCTGTACAAAATGATGCAATGTAAAAGGAAGAAAATAAATGGAAACATTTTGGAAAGAGACTATAAAACAAAGAAAATTTATTTAATAAAGATTCCATATTAAAAAATACCTGGCAGCAGCATGATTGAAGGAATGCAAAAGACAATGCAAATTTTCAACATATGTTCTCGAAATCTGACTTTTAATCCAAATTTCAAGTAAAAGAAATTCCATATGTATTCTTATTTGGAAGCAATTACCATTTGAGAAGACCTTTTGTGAAAAATAAAAATTTACTTTGTTATTGGCATTGTTCATCAGCAAAATTTTTGGGATTTTTGATTTTTTGTGGAGAAAGTTCATTCCTCAAGTCAAATTTGTTGCCTAGGGCAAACAGTTGGACAAACCTAGTTTTTTGCGTAATTTATTTGTTTCTTAGGGCATTTTTTTCTCTATATACTACCCAAAATGTATGGAAATTTAAAAAGGTATAAATTCCTGCAATTAAACATTTTTGATGCTTAAAAACAGAGCTTATGATGCTTTAAAAATAATTTGATGTGTGTTTATGGAATTGTACATTTACCAATGAAGAAACATTTGTTTTGCATTTCATAATGAACAAAGCAGTGCCAGAAGAATAATATTCAACAATCTGCTTCTTCAGAAGTTTAAGATACAGTACTTTTCAGACTACAGTACCCACACATACTGTGAGAGGAATTTTCAAAAGTTCAACGAAACGTACAGTAATAAAAAAAATCATTGTAACATAGGTATGCACAAATAACCAGCAGTCACTTTTTTAGAGTGAAATTTCAATTTGCTAAAAATGCATCACATTTGTGTACAGTATAAAGACAAGATAGAGTCAAAGAAACTAACAGAATATCCTTGTGAGCTATACTAATTTTGGCTCAACATTCAGACAATATCGTCAGAATATCTCGAACAATAAATTGTATTAAAGCTGCAGGTCTTTTTGACGATCCTCAAATTTCAGGTTTCATTTTTGTCAATGATGAAAATTAATATCTGCTTGGCTTTTAAATGTCACTTGCAACATATGAACTTGTATACAGTCGTATAGTTAGCACATTTTCCTGTAGTGTTTCTGGAAATCTTTCACACAGTGCCGGAAATCACGGACAAGGAACTCTCCAGTCTCATACCAAAAGTTTGAGAATCAGAGTCATTTTAGATGCATTAAATTCTTCTAAAAATATTGTTACAGTCCAAAAGAAATATTGTATGCAGGTCTAACCTTTCCCCTTATAAATATTACCACATGCATATATAACCCTGATTGTAGTGGCATCATTCCTTTAAAAATATTGTTTTATTTAACCATCATGATCAAATGAATTGAAAAAATGTAAAAGATTAGCCTTTTTTATTATGAATTGGGGTAATTTTTAGTTAACCTTTATCTTTAGTATTTATAGTTGTAAACAACTCAATTTCTTCAACAAATTTGAAGTAAATACAAAATAAAATATAAAAATGTTTCCAGAAACGCTGGAACAATCTCCCCAAGTCTAGTTATTGTCCGGATGTTGGGTCAGATGTTTTAAAACTTCAAGTCGGATTGTTGTTAGTTGGGGTGTGGCATTTCAGGGTCTCACTGTATTATGCTTTGGACTGACCATTGTCATACAATTCGTGGTCTGCGTCCTACTTCGTAAGTTAGATTATGTTTGAAAAAAACACTAATAGGTGTCACTGAGTGAGCGTTGGGTGCCCCTTCGGTTAGCACTTAGCACAGAACCTGATCCCTGATGAGAAACGAGGGATTCTGCCGTGTTCTTTTTAAGTAATTATGCAATTTTACCTGGCGAAACTACTTATTGTAGATTTTGTTGGTGATCCTTGTATAAGTGTGCATCGACATCATCGTGAAGGTCTCCTTTCCATAGCTGTATTTCTTTGGATCCAATAGCTGACTTCGAACCGTGCGATCGGAAGCAGGTACGACCGTTTATCTAAAATGCAAAAATATGTGAAACTAAGTAAAATCGGCGAAGGCACTTACGGCGTCGTGTACAAAGGACAAGATACGAGCAACCGAAATCGAATCGTGGCTCTGAAGAAGATTCAAATGGAGGCGTGAGTTATCTGTCATTTGCATCTGTATATCTTTTTCATTTTGTTCGCGACCTTCCTGTAGTGATGGCGAGGGAATTCCGAGTACAGCGCTGCGCGAAATGGCTTTACTCGTTGAATTGGATCATCCGAACGTTGTGCGTTTGCACGAAATCGTTCCGGCGGGACACGATTTTTACCTGGTTTTTGAATACATGGATATGGACTTGAGAAAGTATTTGCACAATCACCCACAGGGACTTTCGTCAGACGTGATCAGGGTAAATTCTTGTTCGAAAAATTCGATTGCAGTGGATGTTGAACTTTTTTCCATTCTGCAGAACCTCATGGAACAGCTCTTGAAAGGGTTGAATTATTGCCATCTTCGACGCATTGTGCACCGTGATCTCAAGCCTCAGAACATCTTGGTCTCAAATGAGGGTTGTCTAAAGATAGCAGATTTCGGTCTTGCGCGAACGGTGAGCTGGATTGACTTATTACCGCCGCGTTGCCTTCAAGAAATTATTGTACAGTACTCGGATTGCTAAGAATCGTCAGTCAAGTTTGGTTGAAACGCATTCCGAATATTACTTCGCGACACTCTAAAGGACTTGCCGAAATCCCTTTTATAAAATCGTTAAAAAAAACGTACGCTTGCTTGAGATTGAGTGTTCATATCATTTATTATGTTCAACAGGCTCAAAACACGTAGACAAAAGGTAACTCTTGAGAAATCACCCTGACCTATTGGTGTGTTGGTTAAATTTCTTGGCAATTCTATATTTTTTTTTCGTTTGTGTATTTAATGGCTTTAAAAGAGAAGCGATGTTCAATTGGAGCAAACCCGTGTGCCCATGAGCAATCTTCCGCGCGTGGAAAGTACTGTATTTTACGAATGGAAAAAAGCACATTCCATATTTTACCGATCACAAATTTTAAAAATCTCATGTTCATCTTAAGGCATTTCTGATCTGAGGAAGGTTTGTTTCAATCTAGATTTAAAACCGTGCGTGCTGTAGCTAAAAAGAACTTATGAGCTGATAATGAGAAACATTTGATGCGCTAAATAATTAGACATGGATGCTTATAGTCGTGTTGCCTTCTTTTTGAATTCTTTCCCCTAACAAACGAACGAATGATGAGAATGATTAGGTGCATTGGAAAATTTATTCCCACCTTGTTTTCGATCGTTCTCAGTAATCTCAGTGAAAGATTCAATCTTTGGGTAGTATAAATCTATTAATCTTTTTTTTTTATCGCAGATGGGCATTCCAAACAAACCATACACTCATGAAGTCGTGACCTTGTGGTATCGCGCTCCCGAAATTCTACTGAATTTCAAGTACTACACGTCAGCCTTGGATATTTGGTCCACAGGATGTATCTTTGCCGAAGTGGTACTGTTCCGCGTATTAAATTTGTTCGGCAAGTTCGTTTTGAAAACGCGTTCGATGTATTTCAGTCAAACAACAAACCATTGTTGAACGGTGATGCGGAAATCGATCAGCAATGCCGTATGTTCAAAGCTTTCGGAACACCTACTGCTAAAGTGTGGCCTGCGTTGAAATCGCATCACGTGTCAATTGCCAAGCTTCCGTTTTGGGATACTCCTGAGGATGTTGGCAACCTTGTACCTCGCCTGTGCGACGCTGGAAGACATTTGTTCAAGGTACCGACTGAGAAAAAAAAATTTACCGTAGTAGTGTACTATCGATTTAGCCAGAGCAAAAATTATTTTCTGTTCTGCTTCCTAAAATTGTGTTGGCTTATTCTAGTGATAAACTGAAACTCGACTTACGTCTTACTATGTACGAAAGGCATCCAGAGAATCTCTTGATTGTCGATGAGATTTGGAGAAGGGTCTTATTCTGTACATTTCATCAGTTTCAATGGTTTATGAAGTGTTTCAAAATTGGTATTGTTTTTCTCAAAAACATCTTTGTTACGGTTTTACAGCATCTTTTCGTCGTAATTTGGGAGACATTGATAGAGCAGTGTTTCTATTGAAGAAATCTCAGGGCTCTAATCAGGCGAGGGGAACGAAATGAGTGCATTCTGACGTGTTTTTCCCTGAAACTTCGATATACAATATGAAGTAATCCGTTGCGTTATTTCGAATGTATTTCTTGCAATATAAAACCTGTAATACCCTCGAACTAGCTTAATGTAATGTCGATGCTTTTCGGTATAATTTATCGTAGGTAATGGGCCATTTATGTTTGAAATCCTATTCTGATTTTGCGCGGGGAAGATTTGAGTTATTAGTGACGATGAAATTCGAGGCTTCACCAGTTCAAGGTTCCATATTGAATTCAGTTCATCAACCTTCATTGTTTGTGTAAAGGTGCATTTTGAAACTTCGACCGAAATTCCCCCGACTATGTAGTACAGGAGACTCGCTCTACAACGATTTTTCTCTGTATAATTGATACTTCATTTTTTTCTGTCCCGGGACTCTACCCATCTTGTAGAGGTTCCCTGGAACGAATTTTTTCCTTGTCCAATGATTTTTTTTTTTTTTTTTGGGAGAGTTCACGTGATTAAAATGGGCAGAGCTTTATGATTTACTTCTTTAGATGAAGTCTTTATTCAAAACTTTATGCACGACTTGAACGGTTCTAAAAATTTTGACAGTTTCTTGGTGTTATCACGCTTCATATGCGCTTCTTCTTGCTGTGCAAAAATAATCCCTCGGAACCATCACTCTACTCTTGAGATTCTTGGTTATCAAGTCATAGATTTCTTCAGAAGTTGTGTATAGAAACGACTTTCTTCCATTGCTTACAGTGCAGAGTGGACTTAAATTTTGGTTTAGTCTAATTTTGTTCGTTTTCTAGGTTTGTTTGTTGCGCGAAATGTTGATTGCTTCCTAATTTCCAAAATAATGTTATTTCTTTCGAAAAATATGTATCTCAGTTGTCATTAATCAAAGCATCAAATTGAAAGTCAGACGGACCTTTTATTACATTTTCGCGTATGATGCGTTAGGTCAATTTTCCGAAAGTTTTCTGCTTCTAGTGATAGCTAATAATCTGCATTCAAGGAAATGAACGTTTCCAAACTTGTTTTGGAAGTTCTATCCAATAAAATCTGCGCTGAATTCGATGCGTTTCTAATGGACGTGTTTCTTGCTTAGGCTATGATGGTGTACGACCCGTTGAAGCGTATATGTGCTGCCAGTGCATTAGAGCATCCCTACTTCACCCGGATTCGAGATGAGAGAAGAACATCTTCTGGAGCCTGGGCATGAAACAAGGCTGTCATCGTCATGCAATCGCAAGGTCGTGATATGGTTTGATTTACCACGTGTTGTAAAGTTGAGATAAACCATGGTGTGTCCATGAGTTGATTGTGCGCTTACTGTGTAAGGCATTTTTGTTGAAAAACGAACGGGATTGGTATCGCTTTACCGTTGGAATTTCGTGAGGTTCATCGGGAAACGTCGGAAATGATTTTTTTTTCTTTGCGAACGAAAGCTTTTTTGGACCGATGAAGTGATGAGCGTCTTTCTCGTTGATTTTGATGAACGATCTTCCGAAAAAGTCTTTTTCCGTACCCTTTGATGCGCTTAAAGCTTCCATATCTTTTATTTTTTGCTGAAATTTCCCGATTCGTTATCGAGCTGCGTTGATCTGAAGAATTCGTTACAGTTGGCCGGTTTTTCCGACAATTTTTGCGTGGTTGATCGTTTTGAAGCGCGGGAAGTTCTTCAGCGTTGGGTGGGAGTTGCCCTTCGTGGACCAATATTCCGTCAATTGCAGTTGAAACTGCAGGTGGCCTCTCAATGGCAATGCTTGGGCCTCAGAAAGAAAAATATTTCTATAGGGAATGTCGTTGTGTACGAGGTGCATACACACAGTCACGCTGGTTGCCAGGAAGTTGACACGCTTTCGAAGAAGTGCCCGAAAAATCAACTGTGCAGTGAAATTTCAAGCTATGTTCAGTTTTCCATATTAATCTTCCCGACGACGAAGTTGTTCTGTGCAAGTTGGGTGTCAAATTTCACATTGAGTCACTCCAAGCTCCATCTGTTTCTGGGTTCAAAAAATTCTGTTTGAACGTGGTGGACCTAATTTTTAAAATTTTTCCGCGTGAAGCTATTCATCCTGAAGCAGCAATGCCAGATTTTTGTGCTTCGTGGTGCGCAGTTGTCCCAAGATTTAAAGCAACTGCGGATTCTATTTTTTGTTTCTCTGCTAAATGCCGCCGATTTTCGATCACATGAATTTCAGATTTTCTCAGGGCCAGGAAAAAAATTGCGTTGCGTGGAGAGGGTCCGCTTGAAGGAGGTGAATGGCTTTTTTT